CACCTCGATCATCCACTTCAAGCCGGTTTTTCAGGTTAGTGTGAAAGATACCTAAATTTGTTGATTACTGAAAATGTTTTATTGCTTCACTGCATTCTTTTGATCATTATTTCTTATCCTGAAACCGGACAGTTAAATAAAACTTGGTCCAATCATTTGAGCAATCACAAACGAAAATACAATTACCGTATTTTCCGTAACGAAATCCTGCCTCTATTCAAAGCCCACCTATAATAGAAGCCCGCCTTGCGACCTGCTTGAAAAAAACATAGAAGCCCGCCCTCTGAAAGAGCAGTTTATCTTTTTGGTTATTGCTGATTTGTCTTTCTTTTTTTTAAAGAAATTTTTAGAAATTTTCGTTTTTGGTGATTTCCTGAGAAGCAGGCTGAAAAATAAAAATCCATGGGCTTCAATTAGAGAAACTACGGTAGTTATAACTTTTTTTGACTGTGTCAAACAAATCAGTCAATAATCTAGCAAAATTTTATTTTGATGTGAGTTTTGATTTTTTCTATTGTGAACTTGTTTCTTTTTAATTGGACATAACCTTCTACAAAAGTCTAGTCTACAAAATGAACAAATTTCAAGAAATCCGGGAAAACCCCATTTCAAGAAAACAGGATGGCTCTCTGATTAGGACACTTCTATAATAGGTAGGATTCGGCGGCCTAGCAACACTAGTATTTTCTAAATGGCTTACAGTTTGACCTCCAGCACCGTACCTACGGTCCGGGCTGCGAGTCTCACAAGCCATCCGTTTCCAACCAACTGCACAGTATATGTTTACTGTACCATCACCAACGATTGACGATCGTGAGTTTGAAGAGCTAAATTTGGTCCTCCGAAAATCTCGAAACAATCGAAAACCCTGAACTGTTGCTCAGAAAAACTCAAATTACCATTGATTTTCGTTATTAGCAGCCAACAGGCTCCACCTCTTTCTGAGTGAGTGGCATGTCAGACTCAGGCAAAACGCACACTGATCCACCTAGGAGGGATATGCGCGCACCCTGGCTGTGCATTTCGTCTTATTGGTTATTCCAAAAAACATTTTCTGTTAATTTCCTATTAAGTGTCATTAATTTTTGTTGTTTTTGTCTTGTTTGTGTTCCGTTAAAAACCCGAAAAAGAGTGAGAATAATATATTGAAAAATAGAAATCCTCTTCAGTTACAGTTTTCATTTCTAAAATGTATTCAATATCTTTCACGAGAATCGAGATAAATTGAGTTCAGATTGATCCATTCTTTCACAGTTTACAGTATACATATTGCTATTTTCTGAAGCCGACCCATCTCGAATTCGGCACTATCGTATTTCTAATGAGTGGAACATCTGTAACGGTTAGCGATCAACTGAAAACCATATTTACTTTCGGAATGATTCTCGTAACCTAAATACAATTAAACAAGATAAACTTATTGTTAATTAAAATGGTGTTATTGTCATTTTTAGACAATTTCCAAAATACCTTAAACATTGCAATAATGAGCCACTCAAACCGTTTACTTTGAGCCCACTTATCTCGGTTCCTGTGAAAGATATCAAAGTTTCGTCAACTGACAAAAATTTTTATTTATAATGAACATTCTACTAATTGAAAAAATTTTATATCTTTAACAGGAACTGAGATACAATACCGGTTAAAAAACCTACAAAAACGTATTTTTGAGTTGATTTCGACCATTTTCAGGAAGTTGGAGCGCACATTTTCACATTTTCAGTACAGAAATAGGCCGAAAAAGTGTCTTCCAGAAATGGGCACTAACATGGCTGAAAATCCAGGAAATTTCCAACAATTCTGTAAATAGTTTTCAATCTAGGTCTGTTTTACAAGGTCCAAAATTTTCAAAGTGTTCATGCTCCTGAAACAAGTCAAAATGACAGAAAACTGACTGAAAAATATAGTTTCTGTATATCTCGTTGACCGGTACTGTAAAGAAAAAAGGTAACTACAAAAAAATTAAATAAATATATTCTTCGGTATTCTATTGCTTTTGGGAAAATTTTCCTACCCAAATTGGTTTGTAGGAAAAAGAGGCGGAGCTTGCAGAAATTGGTTGCAAGTTGTTGAGAGGTGCTTAGGGTCTTACTACAAGCTGTCGATGTGTGTCTGTTTCAGGCTGCTCATGTCTATGGTTTGGAATATTTACGATTCTCACCCAAAAATACTTTTTCATTTTGGAGACATTAATCAAAAGTCAAAAGTATTAACGAAGCTATGAAAAATAAAATCTGGCTGTCATTGCCTAACTACCGTAGTTAGCAAATATTTTTACTTCTATTTTTTTCTCGAAATTCGTTCGTTTTTTCTGCAATTTTTTAACTTGATAGCTTATGTTTTTAGACTTGTTGAAAGGCTTTCAACACAGACGTTTGTCGAAAACCAATAGTAATCGAGAAAAAAGGACCGGAAACTTTAAATTACGGTAGTTTTTGATACAAAAATCATTAGCCCCGCCCACAAGCTTTCTCTTTTCACAGCTTCATTTTTCGTACCAGAATAGAATCAACATTATACGAAACATTCCACCAATTTAATTTTTTCTAGAAACTAACAATGTCACACCCATCTGAATGCACGCAAACAGTCCAGTTACAGCACTGAACAACTTCAAGAGGCTCTCTTGGCCTTGGACGTGGTCTCGTTATTCCAACAAAACGGTGAGTATTTTTCAACTAGAGTGCTAGATCTTTGTGATAGATAATTATGATGACCAATACATTGTAGTCATCAGGTTGGTCCATAACAACACCCAGCCAGCACTCGTGCTACAGATTATGAACCACGTGTAAAACTTTCGCAATTTTCTCTTGTAATCTTTAGTTTTGTCCAGGCATGACTTCTTCGAATCTTGATCAAATCATACACAAAACAGATTTTGAAACTGTATGCTTTTCTAACTTTATTTTGCACGTTTTTCTAAAAATGTTTGTTCCTGTTGGCATCGTTACGGCAGTTATGAACCGTGCTCATTAACAATACCACTGCAGTGATCCGAGATTTTATCTTTCTTTGAAATATCAAAGATACCGTACAATCTGCAAAAAAGGTAAATTGACTTTGTGATTTATTATTTCTCGGTGTTGTAAGAGGTTATGAAAATAGATTTAATTGACAATATTTTCTTGTATTATAAACAACGTTTTGATTTCTTTCCAAGAAATCGAAAAAAAGGGTCACAGTTGATTCCGAACTCTGATAGAAGCCCACCACATTCGTGCATTGTTAGCTCAAATATCCTGTTACTTCAAGAAATATTAAAAATACTTCAAATGATGAACTATTATAATATCCTCGATGTTTTATCAGCTGACAGATTCTTGAACTCTATTGTAGGGACCGAGTTAAATGAACTCAAAGAACACGTATTTGGTGAGCATCTATGAGAACAAATACCGTAGCTTGAGGAAACCCTCTTCTTTCATGACTCACGGTATAAATTCTTCACTTTACTGCTAAAAACAATTTATTCGCAATGTAAAGTGTGCCGGACTTCCTAAAAACCGATTTTCTGTTAGGGAACAGTGTTTTTGTCCTCGGTGTTGAAAGCCTGTAATCGATTCCAACTTTGAATGAAAAATGCAAATTGATTTTTCTAGATGTAATCAACTAGATTTCCTACTCTTTAGAAGATCTGTTGAGGGTGTTTCTGTAAAATTTTACTATTTGTGAACCATGTCTACAGAGCTTGTGTAGGAACAGTTTTTTTTGGCTTTTCTGAGACCGATCCGTTACTGCTTCTGTACGATCTGCATGCGTTTTTATTTGTGCCGCGCATGAATTTTGCGAAGTACCTGTAAAAAACCGTTTCCTGATTTTTAACGCAATTCTAAAATTTTTCGAATTGAAATGTTGGAAATTCTAATTGGAAATTTCTATAATCCAAAAGTCTAGTTTTTCTAGCGTAATTCAATCATCATGAGCATATCAAAAATTTTGAACCTGTACTTCATTTTACGAAACACGTTGAGAGTGGATATCTCGTTACATTTTTCTTAAAGGCATAAGAGCAAACTACCGTAGTTTATAACCTAGTTCAAGTTTTTTGTAGTTTTTTTTTCAGTTTTTCGACGAATTTCACTTTATTTTTTAATTTCACTGTATTTGTCGTTGATCATTTTATTCATTTTTTGTCAGATTTACATCGAGAAAACTATGAGAATCGTCGTAAAAATGAGAAACTGAAAAAATAAAGTTTGAAATAGAAAGAATAACTACGGTAGTTTGCTCTTACTCTTCCAAGATTTTTTTTTTAATTTTACTCTCAATGGGAATGAATTTCGGACAACTGTAATAGCGTTCACCAGCTATCTGTATCGTTTTGTCAGTTTCATACAGATTTCAAATCTACCTCAAATCTAGTTTCTATTTTATCTTTTCTTACTGTAGTCGGGTAATACTGTAAAAGAGAAGGTGCGCATTAAATTTGGCCTTTACATGACGTTAGAAATTGTCAATTGACATTCCATTGATATTTTCATTTTAATATAGGTGTTTACCACAACAACCAACCCATAAGATCTCGCAAAATTTTTGAAAGCGGTATTTATCTATAATTACTCTCCCACCAAAACATCTGGCACTTCAAAGGGGAAGATGCGTCTCCATAATGAGTCACTAATTAGTTAAAGGTGTTTTAGAATTTATTATGCGAGATGAAACAATTCAGGAAAGAATAGAAAAGAAGAGACTATAAAAGCAATCTACTGGATCGAAAAAAATAGGGAACGGTAGGATAAATGTAGTTTAAACATATCAGGAGGTGAATTGGGTTAGAGGTTGAGTTATTTAAAGGAAAAGTTTCAGGAAACTTGAGAGATAAAGTAAAAAAGGAGACGTTGAGGATATTCGGAAGTGGACGAGGTAAAATAAATATCGCCGTGAAGTTTGAAATGCTGAATAAACTTTTGATGTTATTGGGCCTCTTTTTCGTCAGGTAGTTAGCTTAAAAATTTCAAAACTTCAGCTGAATTGTAATTTCCTTTGCCGTTTTGTGATTAATCGTCTTCTGGATCAACAGAGTCTTGCTTCTTCAAGGACTCCAGCTTTTTCTTGCGCGAGACCTGAAAAAAATTGAATAGCTGACATTTTGATACCATTTTTTTTCCTCTCAAAGATCTCCTCTTTAGAATCTCCATCCTAACCTTTAGCGGCAAATTCGAAATGACATCAAGTGGGGGAAAACAAATTGTTGTTTAGATCCCAACCTTTAGATTTACCTCCTCTATAAAACCAATAATGTTTTATAAACAAAAAATTTCACAAGTAAGATCAGCTGATTTTGATCGAGCATGATTTTTCATATATTTAAGCTTCTATATATTGAAACAATGCTTTCTTACCAGCGTTGGCTCAGTGATTTTCTCGGCCACTTCTTTGGTTGTTGGATCTTCCAAGACGTTCTAAAAATTTAGGATTTTGAAATTCATTCATTTTTTTGCCTACCACTCCTGGTTTCTTAATTTCCTTCAGTGCTTCCTTTAATCCCATCATGGTTGCGGCAGATGATTGTCTCCCGATTGAAGCATGGGCCTAAAAAGAATAAATTTTCCACTGATAGCGATAGTGTTTGTGCCCGTACTTTAGCAAGAAACTAATTTTTTCGTGAAATTAAAACCCCAAATTTATTTGGTTACCGTATCACAAAATAACTATTTGAAAAACGTTTGATACCTTATCAGGTTTTGGTTTGACCATGATGACGTTTGCCGGAACCACTCTCTCCTCAACCTGAAAACTTATAGATTTTGCACTAATATTTTTTATTAAACGTACGACGGATTGGTGAACTTGTGGAGTTGCCTGGTGCCCTTGTGAAACTGCCTGATGCGCTTCTGGAGCTGTCACAGGCTCGGTTGTTCCTGGCACATTTTCTGGCACAGTTGCCAACTCAACGATGTCTCCGCGGGGAATCCCAGGTGTGACGGCGCTGACACGACGGCAGCAGCAGCAACATAAGAACATCGCTGAGAGCATCACTGTTGAATTTGATAACAGATGATGAGTCGTTTTTGTTTTCAGAAACTGAGCAGGACGTTTGCCCGAAACTAAGAGTTAAATAAATTTAGTAAGTTTTGTGAACTAATTTCAGAACCTTTCTAATGAAAACAGGTGTTTCGCGAACAATCCGTTACGGACGCTCAGCGTTCGCGCACGGTGGAAATAGGAACCGTATACGGACCGCATGTGACCCGTTTTCAGAAAATCATATCACATTATTTCGTATTCCTCCGTATTCTATCCGTTTGCGAACTCCGTATCCGATCCGATTG